TTTCGTAAAAGGGAACGAAGGGCGCACGAGTAAGCGTCCTATAAAAAAATCGCGTCCATTCACGAGATCTAAGTTAGTATGATGCATCTTAGAAGTACTCTGTATACTTCAAACACTTCTAAAGTCATTTTTACCAGTCAATTAAGATTCTAACCCGAGTTGAATTACTATAACCTTAGAATGCTTAACCCCGTCTTCAGGAAACATTGATAAAATGAATGAACCAAGTGAAGTTTTTGTTAACATTCATGAAAATGAACAAGTTATCATTATATTGTATTCAGTATTTGAGTGTATTAAAACTAAGTAGTGTAAATCGGCTTTCATTTCGGATTTAATAAACTCTATAGTAGGCTTGAGTGATAAGATTCAAAATTTTGAGAACTCACTGACAACAGGTTCCTTATTTCAGAAAACCATGCCGGATTTATGTATAACTTTTAAAACAAGATCGGGTTCACTGGTTATCACTGCATTTCAAGAACCGGTTCGAACGAACCCTTGCGAACCCCTGAAACCCACCACTGCCTCTCTAATGATTTATGATTTATAACACTGTCATGCCATACCATGGTCTTGGTGGGGATTTTTCCAGTGGCTTTTTCATATTAAAAATGAATTCTCCGATTAATGATAAAATTGAATTTTAATAAGCTTTTTTTTTTGAATGAACGTACGTTAGATTTATATCTTTCAGTTGTATTTGGCCGCTGATAAAATCAATAAATATACGCTTCCATCGAAATTGTTTTTTCTATTAAAATGTTCACCGGCAAGGGAAGTTGAATTTTTACAATGGATTTTTCTGTTGATGAGACCAAAAATATGGATACTGTATATATTTACCAAAAGTATTTTATTTACATCCATTGAAAACCGATTTCAGCGGAGATTAAACTTCATCAAACTTGAACTGTCAAGAGCAATGGTTCACAAGCTTTTTTAAAAAAAATTTTGCCCCCCTGTGGGCGTTTACGAAAACTGTGGGGGCGCTGACTGCGAATTGGGCAAATTGGGGTCGCTGGCAACAAATCAGGCAGCTGCGAGAAATGTAATAATATTATAATATTACATTTAAATATTATGACTTTTTTTAATATATTGTAATGTTTTGTAATAATTCAAGTCTACCGCACGACTTATTGACGCTTCGCTCACCAGAGCCCTTCTATGTGGTCTGACATGGTTCGTTTTTCGAAACGAAAAATTTAGACAACATAGGGGTTACGTGTAATATGGACTTATTTCAGTCCAAAATTATGATTTGCACCCGATGATTTTGTCGTGTACGAAAATGTTTTCTAATGAAGCGAGAATATTTGATTTGGAGCCAGACTTCAAATCATCCGAATAAATCAGGCGAATGTGTTACATTTTTCCAATTAAAAAATGGTAATAAAAGGTGGCAGTGGTCTGTATACTGAACAATGGCTTACTTAAACAATTATGCCTTTTACCAGGGCGAGTTTTAAGATTTTTCCCATTCATTGTTTGAACCAATTGTATTTTTAATTTAGTGAGAAATAAACTACTGGCTGACTGATATGACGGTACTTTTGTTTTTGTTGCTAAATTACAGCAAACTTGCGATCCGGGCCTTGAGAAATATGTCATATTAGAAAAAATGACATCGCTTACTTAACAGATATATTCTATAAACTTGATGAACTGAATGTTCTCCTAATGGAGGCGAAGGAGAATTTTCCAATTCTTAAGCTTGCAATAACTTGCTACCGGTGGCAGAAACATATAATATGTCATGTTTATGTAGACGCGTAAAGCGAGCTTAATCAAGAATTACACACTAACATGGAAATCCGTTTATACGACGTATTTCAATCGGAGGTTCCGTAGAAGTAAATTGACACATTCAGCAATGTTTCCAATACTACTTGAGTGCCATAACCTCAGTCTATGTGGCAAGAGAAACCGCATTTGGCATAGTTAAGAAACATAGGAAGGACTGCTTCTGACTAAAATGAAGCTTGATATTGATAATCTAGCGCTTTTTCGGGAAGAATTTATCCGGTCTGAGTGACACTAAAGTACAATATTCTACTTTGCGTAGAAAATGAGATAAGGGAAGTGCGGTCTGAAAGAGTAGTTTAATTTTAATAATAATTCACGAGTACAGCTTCATACGAAATTCGGTGAAATTCTTTGACCTGGGGCCTGGGGTCTCGTGTAGTTTCTTACTTCAATATCTTCTAGTAGGCGTCGCTTAACAATTTTTGCATATATCATCCCTGACCCTCAACCACCATTCAATAAATTACGTCATTGCGAGGTCACAATCACGAATTAGAGCTTGCCAAAATATACTTATGGTTCAATGTTAAATAGCATTATTTTATGCTAAAAAATACGCTACAAATTTCGGGTGCGCCTTATATTTTAATTTAGGAATTGACGATTCAATGAGTCTTAGTTTCGGGCTGCAAACAGTTCTTTGTTTGCAATAGTAAATTAACCAGTGAATTAAAAAAAAAATAATATGCTATCACGCATTGATGAGAATAGTATAGGATTTACTTATTTATCTTGTGGGAGAGGAAAGGTGATAGGCATAATCATATGATGAACCAAGGCCTCTCGTCCGGTTACCTATCCATGTCGGGTATGGGATTAGTTAGTCAGATTTTTGTTTTCAGATGCATGGACTTGATTATGGGGAAGCGTGACCGAGACTACGATGGCGAGGAGTTCAGCAATCCTCTTGCACATAATTGACACCCACGGGATTCGAACCTGCAAACCCCCGCAGAAGTAATCAGACGTGCGATGGCGAGCGTTCACATCCAGAAACTGTCAGCAGAAATTTGGGGTCCTCGCTTCCTATTCTGAATGTGCAGAATGTATATAAACTGTTTGGTAATACATGGAATTCGAAAGATTGTGCCCCTCGTGGATAGAGTATTGACAAGACGAGTATTGGCTGCCTATGATTAGTACAGTTTTGACTTAAACAGGTTACAGTTTGCTTTTCATTGTATCTGGACATACGCAATAGCTGCAATATATACGGAATTATGGGATCCTTAGTACAAAATCCCACAAAAAAAAAAAAAACATCGCCGCCAAACTCTCAAAACAGAAAAATTTAGAAATGCAGATTGAGCTGGAAATTCAATTTTTCAAATCATTTATAACCTTAAACCAAACTGAATTATTACTAATTGCTAATTCAAAACATAGCGGCGTTTTTTCAAATCTTACATTTTTACATTAGTGTACAAACAATACGAATAATGTTGTTCTAATAGTTTAGTTGGACTGTATCACAAGTATCCCAATAATCTTCTTCCCTTTGATTATTTCAATACTTTGCATTTCACCTTATCACCAAATAAAATATATGAAGTTTGCTGAATGCAATAATATATTTTACTGCTTAACTGCTATATTTTCGAATCTGAATCATGTTTGCAAATCAATTTTACTTAGGCCGTAGAGTTTAGTACAGGGGTTCTCAAACGGTGGGTCGCGCCCACAGTGGGGGCGTAGACAATTTTTGAGGGGGCGCAAAGCTAATTAAAAAAAAAATACTTTGTTAGATTCGATCTTGCCCGCCTTATTTGGTGTTTTTACATATCTTTATTCTGAATATTTACGTGCTATCCACGTATCTGTTATTTGTAGTTTATTGTTAGCTGGTTAGTTATTTTCGAGGTGAGGCGCGAGACTTGACAAATTCTTAAAATGAAGCGCGGCTTAATAAGTTTGAGAACCACTGATTTAGTGAAAAAAGAATTCAGGACTAAATAGGACGACTTTAAAATTAGTGTAAAATTGGCTGGAAAGTCGCAATAATCAGTAAAGCGTCTGTACTTGTTTGTGTTAGACATTAGAAGTTATGTATTGGATATAGGTAAAGATATCATGTTAGTGCATATCTATTATTGAGAAGTTATACATGTTTATTGTGTATGTGAGAGAATAGTCCAGTATTTGTTCAATGTGAACGTTGCTCTTAAGCTTCATCAGCTGTTAATATCATCATCTAAGCCTCGGAATAAGTAAGTACAATTTAATTCAATATCGGCATCCCATCTTCTTTGACCACATTCTCCCTTCATATTGACAGATCTGAGGTGACTAAGTTAGAATACAACCAAATATTGGGAAGCGTTGGGAGCTATGGCGCGGGCCTAGGACATGGCCGCCTCCCTGGGCAGGACGTTTTAGGTTGCAGCAGATAATTGAGTTTGATCTTATACATATGAGTTCATTGCTTATTTTGATGATTTATTTAATAATACAAACATTTCACTCTTATACTTAATCTTCAATTTATTTATTTTAATGTTTTTCAACATCTATAACTTGTTTATTCCCCCAATTATTTATAAGTATAATGGGGCATCATTATCAGAAGAAATCAGCAGAAATGTTTGGCACGCACCCGGTTAGGACCCACTAGAAATTTATCAATACATTCTATTTATTTCCACATATACGATACGCTTTATTTGTGACATATTTCTGATTTCTATATGAAATGCGCTCAAGTTAGTGTAGCGACCCTTTTTTCCTATTGTACACCCCAGAACATCATTCAAAAATTTCATTGGTGTACTGAACACCCGTTCGCGAAATAAAAGGGTTGGACTTATCATCAACAGAAAACAATGGCCTAGGGAGTAATTGAAGCCAACAGAGTAACTTTATTATAGAGAAAAGTGAACTGAGATCTCGTCATAAATTGATGCGATTTTCTTATAATTCCTCCAATCGTATGGGAATGATTAGACACGGAGTGGATTTTTGGATCGTGAATTCTCAGTTGATGTTGTTGAGAAAATTGCTTTTCTCCAAATTTATTTGTCGGAGCGACTTAAATAATCAATATTTGAAGATGGCTGTTACTTTTATTTTTGTTTTTGAAATTTCCTCTCAGTCCTGTGGTTCTCGATATTTCCACAACATCTAATAAACTGATGAATTTGATATCAGTTCTATGCTTCATACTTCGAATAACACCACATTATAATTTCAATTTTGTTTTAAAATTCTTCTTATTCTCATTTAAAGTCTACATATTATGGTCGAAAACACAAAAGTAAATTAAAATTACTAATAGCATTAAGCAAATGGGAATTTACGACTTTACAAATTCGAAAAATTGAATGCGTGTTGCGGCAAAAGGGAAAGTTTAAAAAAAGGTTAACCCAAAGTAAAACGTTTAGAATTACATCGCAGACTTTCTGCTCGAGTTTTTAATTGTCAGTCTAAAACATAGTGAATCACAAAGTTATTTTCAAATATGAGAATCTCTACGTTGACGGTGTTTGAACACCTGGGATGGATATTTACACCGGGTGAATCTTCATTTCACTGAACGAGAGATTACCTACCCATGAAAAGTGACTATCATATTTTCCATTCAGGTTGGAATGATAGCAACTCTTATACCACCAGGCACCATTGAACTGGCGAGCACAGTTTCCTCCATTAGAGTCATTGTCTACATCATAAGTGGTAAAATATTGTTGATTATGATACGACATCCTGTCTATATCATCACCAGAATATCCCGAGATTGTCAGCTGAAATTTTGACTTTTCACTTCCAACTTTGAATGTGCTGAAATAGAAATCAAAACCAAATAGAATTTAATATCAACAAAAATGTGTTAAAATAGAAATATAGTTTCCTTAAAATTTAATGTTAACAAAATTATAGAAATTATAAAATAGATTGTTGTGAACTGAAATTGCGTGTTCAATTTTGTTAATAACTCGAAATCCAGAACACAAACAAGAGAGCAACTCTTAAAATATATGGATTTGAACGCTGCCGACGATCAGTCCGAGAACTCTGCTTAGTACTATTGGGAATGATAACTTATGGCGAATAAAGTTTGATTTCCACATTCTCCATAAAAAAAACAAATGTTATATATTGGTATTATACGGTAATTTTCGTGTTATCGGGTTTCTTATATGTGGCGCACGAGACGAAACACGAGAGAGGTTATAGATCAGGGATGGCGAACCTTTTTCAATAGATGGGTCAAAAATGATATTTTTATCGCGGAAAAAGAAAAAAGTGGGTCACAGATATTTAATCAATGTTTGTATCTATAAGAAACTTCTGAAACATATCGTATATGCTTCATCTGGTGTAGTATTGGGCTTTACGTATGCAGCACTTCCATTCGTGACTATTTATGGCACTCGATTTTATAAAATTACGAAAACACGCATAGGAATTACCAAAACGTTTGTGTTGAGGCGGCAAATAATTTTACGGTTCCAAAGACTTTGGACGGAATGGCGGGTGACGAATAAAACGCGGTGGGTCACTTTGTGACCCGCGGGTCAGTGGATCGCCATTCCTGTTATAGATCATGCATGTGACGGTGTTTACCTGTATTCTGCGTAATATGATGTACCAGATTTTGTTCTCATATCAATACGAAGTTTATAATTTCTCGATGTTGTCAGTTGATGAATTGTTCGAAGACCTGGGAAACATAAAAAATTTGTCAAAAACTTGTTATTTTACTATTCCAGTGAGCATAAACATATTAGTTAATATAGATTGAGCTGTAGAGTAATTAGTACATTTGAAATAAACTATATTTAATATAACAATTCTAAGTAAATTCATGATTTTTTTATTCGCTTTCACTGTAGGCTGCTTCATTTTGTAATGAATTGCATAGATTAGGCCGTTTAAGCCGTTTGCATCCGATTTTAGTGCTATAGAAGGCCGAGATGGCTGAGCTTGGTTTAAAAATAACAACGCCACACAATAATAAATACGGTAAGTAGGAATAGCATATTTGTTTTTTCATTTTCACACGCACATTGAATTTTCCGCCTTAATGCATATTAAATCAGACTTGAAGACAAATTGCAAACAATTGCCCTAACGTCCTATTCTTTAAACTGAAGCCATTCCATCTCGTGCGGTGTACCTAATATGTTGCTTTATTAATGACAGGATACGTTTGTAATGATAGCATATTTATGAATATATAATTGGAATTTCATTCACCGAGCCAAAATTCTTTATTTTTATCTCCAAAACCTGTGGCATAACTTTTCCAGTCTCTGTCATAAAATCTGACTGCTCCATTTTGTCGTCTCTGAATTGTCTGGAAGAAGTAATAACGATTTTACTGTTAAAAAATTACACTATAAAACAATCTAGATTTTAATACTTAAAGATCAATAGTTTTATCTAGCCTAGTTTGGGCCAACGGAACGTGTTATACGCTGAAGCAGCTGCACGTGCCCGTGACCAATGAAAAACTTCCACTTGTGGAATTGATATTGATATGTGGCCGATATCTTATCTGCAATTTACCATGAACGGATGATCATTTGTCACTGGTAAAAAATCTCACTGATGACCAACTTAAGAAAACTTACAATCCATCCATCTTCATTTACTGAATATAGTCCGCAATTGACCTCAATGGGAGTGAGGTCTCCCTCGCTTTTCCTTGGATATATTTTGCTAGCCATACCATTTTGGTCGCAACTTGATGGTAAAATGAAATCGCTGTCTGAATAGATATAAAATATACAATTAATTTTAATCATATCTAGCATAAAAAATATTCAACTTATACTCTCAGAAAATATAAGTTCAAAAACACCAACCTCCTATTTTTTTGACGGTTTTATTGATCTGATCATTTTTAGTTTCGAGATCTCGGATTTGTTGTTTCATTTCTCGATTTTCTATTCCAATTTCATCCATTTTTCTTCTCATGTCTCTCATTGCTTCTTCATCGACAATATCGCACTGACAAGGTTCTCCCTTTTCGCCTTTTATTCCAGGCAATCCATTCATCCCTCGCTTTCCAGGTCTTCCTTGAGATATAGATGTTTGAAGTGTCGACGGAGCATGTTCTGTTGTTTCTCCAGGTTGACAAAGTGTCGTTGTTGTAGTGCAAGTGTAAGGAGGAGAAAGTACATTTGTTTGAGCTAGTGTGGAAGTTATGCATAGAATGCACATGAGCAAGTAATAGCTAAACATGGTTATGTTTATTTATCTGAATAAGTACATTATTGTTATCTCGAATCTTCGGATAGCTATTAACTTGATACGGGCTTTTAAGTTTGTTAATTATACAAAATATTTTTTTTTATTATGACAGCGTAAACGTTTTAGATAAATGTACGTGGAGTGTGCAAAATTTACAATTGACTCCTGATCCCAGATAGAAAATATTTTGACTCCAGCTCCGGGTTAAAATTACTTCGACTCCGGCTTGTATAAAATGTTGACTCCAACTTCCGCACTTTACTCCGAGTAAATCGATATTTGATGCCAAACATTTTTGTGTATTCGAGCTATCTTCAATAAAATGTTGGGAAAAATGTTTTTAAAATTTCGTAGAACACATTGAATTTTTCCATCATCTTTAGAAATTTTATATTTCGACTCGTGAGAATTCCGAATTTTGACTCCAATGGATTTGAAATACGATCACGACATCAGTGGAAACATACAAACTCCGGATCCACGGCCACGGTTTTATACTATAGTATTCGCTATTCAATCTATTTTCACGAACCGACCCGATTTTGAATTTGAGAGATCTAGATTTTCAAAATTTTCAGTCTAATGCCTCCATAATGCCTGATTATCGATACAAATTCACCTAGTAAGTGAGAAAATTTGGCTAAATTAGAATTTTGAAGAAAATACATAAACTGGAAAACGTCATAAAAAGGAAAAAGCATTCGGTGCTCCCGAAGTATGCGAACCAAGATGGCGGACATCGGAACGTAACATGGGTAACTGGTTAGGGTTGGGCGATAATTTTTTTCCAATTTTCCTTATTTTAGTCCTATTATCAGTTCGAAGACTATCCAAGAGCCTCCCGTAGTATTTATACCTAAAATTATGGCCTAACCCTAACCTAGTACACATATTACATTCCGATGTCCGCCATCTTGGTTCGCATACTTCGGGAGCCCCAAGTATTCATATTAAAAAAACATTCTTACAATTTATGAAAGTTCCCGATTTATTTTGTTACAGATTTTGGAAACTGTGGAAGAAACTCTGATCTAAACAAACACCTTCACAAATACTTACTCTTGCTCTACTACTTGCTCTTATTGCGACGGTCAAAAATTGGCTACTACATTTCCTCTGTGTTAAGTCACGGGAATGGTATGTTTCACATATGAAATTTTTTGAGAATTGGACCAGTTTTATAGGCTTCAAATGAAGGAGAAATGCGTTTTGCTTTTTCAAACTTTCGGAACAGTATTATTATTTTATGATATCTACACACGGCCCTAACACGACGAAAGCTTTATAAAATTTTCACTTTTACTCCCATTCAAGTAAACACTGCGGAGAAGATTTTCGTTGCTATGTTGCGGCTCAAACTGGTTGTCTCAACTAAAATTAAATTACGGCTCCATCATATCCAATATGTCAATTCCGGATAAACATTGTCTCATACGTACAGCTGGTACATAAATATACTCAATTGTTTAAATCTACCGTTAAACCGTTAAAATCTGCGGCTTAAACTGGTTGTAAAATCTCAAATAACTTTTAATTATGGCGCCTTTTACTCAATCTGCTAAATCTAAGTAAACATCGTCTCAAATGCGCAGCTATCTTCTCAAGTTTGCCGACTGTTTTAATTGATCCTTAAATCCGAAATGCCAAATCAGAATAAACATTGTCTCAGACGTGCAGCTGGCGTATAAAGAAATTCGATTGTTTGATTTCACCGTTAAATATTTGAAAATTGCAGCTTCAACTGGTTGTAAAGTCTTCAAATAACATGAAATTGCGGCGCCTTTTATCCAATATGTCAAATCCGAATATACATCGTTTTAACTTCGCAGCTGGCTTCTAAAAATTGTCAAATGTTTGAATTGATCGTTAAATCTTCAAAAGCTGCGGTTTAAACTGGTCAAACTTAAGTAAGTCAAAGTACTGTTCCATTATGAGTGGAAACAATGCAGAAATGTGAGATTCGAGAAAACACCCCTCCACGTTTTAAAATAACAAATTAGTAAATATCCAGTTAGGGTTAGCGTTACAGTCAGAAATGTTTTAGCAATTTGGATCTTCAGCGTAATCTGCAATCCTAGCCCTTACTCTAACTCTAAAGGAATATTTACTATTTTTTTTATTTCGAGCGGTGGCAGGTCAACAAAAGGTCCTATAAGTCGTATGATTGAGATCTTAGCTGTGAGATTCGGAGCCAGATTTGGATTTTCAAACTCCCAATGTCGATAAGAAGTCAAAACATTGTACTGAAACTGAAATGACATGAAGTTTACTAAGCGCTTAACAATATATAAAAGAAGGATGATACGCCAAAGTTTTGTATCACAATTTGATTTCCACAGAGCTGGAGTCGGAGTCAAATATTTTTATTACCCGGAGTTGGAATTCGAAGTCGATTGCAAAAATTTTCGACTCCTCAACCCCCTGGGGCGATGCTAAATCTTTTGTTGACTTATGCGCTTTCCTAAACAAAGACTACAAAATTATAAATCTAAGCAGCCAATCAAATTTTCTTGGTAATAACATTTTAATTTTGTTTATGAAAATTTTGAATCGTAGCGGTTCCGCGTTCGCGCTCGCCATCTGGTGGTCAGCCGCAGTCGTGAAGACTACGATACCGGCTGTTTAACTAGAAAGATTGCATAATGCTCTCCTGTTCTATCTTTCTAATTCTTATCGTTTGCTATGGTTCAAATAAATACACCCTGTGAATGGAAAAATGTTTCATTACTAATTCGGCTACTATTATTTGATTTGATAACTTTCAACAAGGCTACAAGAATATTAACAGCGTCATTGGCTATAGGTAGAGTAACGCATCATAACTCTGTCCTTGAGGGGGCCTGAATAAAGACCATATGAAAAGAAGAGTGTTTTATTAAGATCTACTATTCACTTATTCTTCCATCGTTGGAAATGTCTTGGAACACTCGGCTCCATTAAAAGATTCCATTTTTAGATTAAACTGCGCAATTGGCAAATCGCATATTTCATCCATTATCATTCCATTTTTGAAAATATCTTAGAAAACTCGGCTCCAATAAAATCTTAGATCAAATTTATTTTCGTCCAAAAATTTGGTCATTTCCACATGAAAATGACACGCGACTCAATTTGGATTCAATAAGTTATCAAAAAGCTCGATATCGGGACTTCATTTCGCCCTATCGCTTCATTATTACCTAAAATCTCAACCTTGTTTTGCATTTAACGTCAACATCTTACCCTTAGAAAAGATAAATTCTAATTTAATCAGCTTCACTAGTAATCCGTTTCTAAGGAAGAGTTAAAAAAATTTCAATATGTATATTAAAAAGTTTGAGACAGAAATTTAACATATTATGAGATGTCAGCCGACATTCTTCACTGATGAAAATGGTTATGCTTCTGTATTCAAAAACGAGACCTCCCTTCCATGAAACTACTGTTAAGAATGCAGTGAAAGCTGATTATGATACAATCAATCCAAACAATAGCCGTTGATTTGGAAGCAATAGCCAACTGTCATATGCATTTTTTTAGCCTGTTAATCACATGCCTGTGGCTCATTGACTTGTGACGCTACATGGTTAGCCTGAAGTGAGAAGGGTGATTATTTGATCAAGCGTTTGATAAATTGTTTACTGTTAATTACTGTGCTTTGTTATGATTGTGGGCGGAAAGCCACAGTCTGGCCAGAAATGTGCGCGATGGAATGCGGGTTGTTTTCGTCGTAGGCCGGCTATACTGATGGATGTCGTTGTTTTTGAAACAATATCGGGTAAGTAAAATGTACTGGATGACTAATATCTTACTGCTCTTGTATTATTTTTCCTTTTTGATTGCATAATTGATGAATTGTTTTTTGGGCTAATGAATAATAAAATAGGTGCTTAATACTGATATACAGGGTGTCCATAAAGTCTTAAAATTGCAAAGGGAATTTATTGATACCATATATTGTTTTGGCCCGCACAGATGTATTGAATGAAGTAAAAATACTTGAACTACTTGAATTAATGAACTAATTACTTGAATTACTAATTAAAAAACAACAAACCTGGTTAAGATATATTGAGAACTGACTTAACAAAATTGAAATTGTAAAGAAACTTTATGGACACCCTGTATATATTTGGATCGATGAATGAATTTATTTCATTTTATTTGAGCTTGAACTGTTGTTTGTGTATGATTCTACCCGAAAATTTCAGTAATCTAAGACGCTTTGTACAGAAGTTATGTTCTCTCTATAAAATATGACTAAATGACCGTCATGGTGTTGGAGACGGACTTTCTCAAAATTGTCAAACACTCACTTGGATTTTGTTGGGTTGCTAAAGGTTGCCGAACAGTGTCCTATCCCAAAATATAGCATGAACCCCACTCTTTATGTCTACTTTAACCTCATGCCTTCTAACGGGGTATTTCTCTTTTTAATATATGTAGTAGTACTTATGTTCTTTGTTTGTTTTATTATTAGGCTACTATAATACTTCATCTATGCACATATCATAAATAAACTACCTAAACTGTGTTAAAGCGGGAGTGCGACTCGCACATGACGCTAAGGATCCATTAAAGACTCGATATATAAAATAGCTTTCATGCATAGCGAGGGATGAATAAAGTTTCAAAATAGGCGAAGAGACAAATTAAACGAAAAAGGTTGTTAAGTGCTGCCTAATCATTTATCTCAGAATATTGTATATTTGTCCAAACTCGGAAAAGTAGGACAGGACATTAAATACACCGCTTGTGATTTGACTTTAAAATTTAAAAAAAAGTTCTTTTTTAAAAATTTATTTGTAAAATAATATTACAATAAAAAAGCGTGCATTAATACAGACCCTTTATATAAAACTCTGCTACAAAGCATTTATACAGAAACGGAAAAAAACATATTTTAAGTGTTATAGGTATCCAGTTATTCTTGAATGGTTTACCACTAAAAGTTTTTCGTTTTGAATTTCTTCAAAATTTTGTTCCTTCGAAACTTCTTTTTCTGTTGCCGAAATCGTTATTCTATAATGTTCTTATAGAAATATTGACTAAGAAATTAATCAGGTAAATTGTACAGTGTCGCTATGAAGTCGCCAACCAAGGTAAAATTTACAATCTATTATGACGCGTCAATAGATGACTCATTCTAATTTTTTTTAGAATACTAACATGATGACTCAGAACTGCATCGAGATCGAATGATTTCAAGATTTTTGTATATTTTAAATTTTGATGGTGCGCGACGTTATGATCACTATTCATGTTAAAGTATATTTGTTAATATCCATCGGGAGATCCTCCTCGTCTATCGTCACATTTAGCAGCGATTGTCTTCTCATTTATTCTTAATATTGCTTGAACCGAAGATAGGTGGCTGTCTACTTCTTCGACTTCATGTCCACGTTTCAATAATCCTTGAATCATTTTCTGAAAAATGAAAATAAGACGCGTATTTTTTGTTTGCTCATTTCTGGTCCAAGCCTGGTTCCCATATGCTTGTGTTTTTGTTATCTTTGTATGTGTGTGTGCTGATGAGCGAACACATATTTATCATGTTTAATTTTTTTTCTTTTTGCTATCTCTCCAGAATTCTCCATTTTTTAATTTGCTTATATTATATAGAGTATGCAAATTAACCATCTATCTATGAAAGATTGTTATGGGTTATGCATTCAGATACAAATGCTTAATGCAATCCTCAGGTTCAATTGATAAATGAAAAAAACAAAGAATCACCTGGTCCGTTCCTTCCTGTATTAATAAAACATTTGGAATCCAACCGTGATGAAATCTTTTTGATCTCACGGCTTCGTCGAGAGTTTTGTTGAACCATAAACTTTGCATTATCGTCTAGAAAGACCATAAACAAAAGTAAGGGTACCATTGACTGCTTAGCGCGGTGGCAGAACTACTTTTATTCATAACCCATAAATGAAGCAAGCACGAAAATTATACAAGTTGACTGAAAAGTCGAGAAAACAAGTTAGCGCGATCCGCCTCACTGTTTGAATGTCCTTCAAGAATGTCCGCATCGCGAGTTGCTTGACAATGACGTCATAGCTCTTGCTCAAGCCTGCAGAGGGTGGGCTAAGTCAACTGAAGTTAATAAGTCAAATACCCTTCGGAAGAAATTCCAATTTTTGACGGAAAATCAAGCGTCTCCTTGGTTGTTAGGATACGGGTCCGGTGATTGCCGGGTATATAAGTCTGGGGCGCAGCAAAAACAGCAAAAATCATTCTTACAATATAGACCAGGGTGGTCCAAACTCAGGCCCGCTGCTTTATTATCTGTGGCCCGCGTCACATTCGGAGAGCAAAAAAAAATCACATTTCGTGTTGTTTGGTCATAAAATTAATCTGAAAATCTCTTGAAATATTGTCATCACTAATGTCACTGAATTAAATAGTGTTATGGCTAGCTTGCGAAGTTGAATAATGTGCTTGGCAGTCCAAATTGTTATCTAGCTTTCTAACTTTTTGGTAGGAAATATATGCCAACAATATAGGCATCACAGAAAACTAAAAATCGAATGCGCATTCTATTAGCCTAGAATGGCTACGCCTGATAACTATGTGTATGCACAATAAAAGTGTTTGTTTTGTATTGCACTGGTCACCTATTCTTGGCACTATTGTGGCCAGCAAACAATGCAAAAATAATTTTGTGGCCCGCTGAGCTGACAACCTTGGACCACCCTGATATAATAGACCATGGCTTTTCCAAAACCCTTAAAAAAGTGGTATGGTGATGCCACATTTTTTATATTACACGGGTCCGGTGCAATATTCTTCCAATACCATCTCAGTTGAGACGTAGCATAAACACATCAAACAAGCATTGTGAGTCTCACAAACTTGCGTATTCCTATTCCATGGCTAGTCTAGAGCTTTTTACGATGCCACATTTCATACGATGCTGCACTAATATATTCATATAGTGCGTTAGTAATCTTACCAGTGCAGTTGCATTGATGATATGAGTTCCCCCAGCCCCACCGATCACCATCTTCACCTTTGAACATTGAGGAGCTGATTTGTTGATAATTATTGTTGGAGTTGTTGAAGACAAACCTCGCTTGACGGGTTCAATTAAATTATTACACTCTTGGATTCCATCAGCTAAAAATATGAAATACTGAGTTATAAAAAGTTTTTGTATTTGACAATATATGACATTGGTTTCCGGGTAGGTAATACTATGCCGGAGAATAATAAAATAGAGTTGCCATTACCAGTATTCTATTTACAGCATATCATTTTAATTTAACTTAATATGTAGTTGTGTTTTTAGATGTGGCAAAATATATAAAATAGCTCACTCTATTTTCCTAATTGATTTTTTCATTGATTCTATTTCTATGGGAGACACGAAATAACGCATGATGTGTTTTGTGTGCCGGATGCTATATATCTTAAAAAAACGACGGGTCCTAGAGTATTAATGACATATATAGTATTACTCAATTATTTCTTAATGAAACGTAAAATTTGAAACAAACACTATAGCATATTGCCTTCAGTTAAGTTCCACGTAATATTTGAAGACAAATATATTTCGAGTATAGTCTTCTTTGACAATAAAACAATAACAAGACAGTAACCTGTAGCATGAGGTCTTGAAAAATCTACCATTTGATCATTAAATACAATTCCTGTTCGTTTTCCGAGAATGTTGCTTCCGAATCTGAATAAGATTGATTTTAAAGCTGAGGTTATTGAACACACGTTGGATTTATATATAGTTTTGTTATTGCTTTCGTGAGTATAGCTTTTAACCAGTGGTGGTATTCAGCGGGGTTTGCACCAAGTTGGCGCGAACCAGTCATTGAAATGGTGTGACAAGCAACTGACATATTCCTGTGGTTGTTTTAGACCTCTGACGACCGCAGCAAATAAATGGGTAAAAAGCACCTCAGCTGAACACCGATGAACGCCATTTATGTAAGTGATGGTGTGATGGTGGTACAGTTACCTTATGCTGTGCTTATATTCATACATTCTTACGTTATAGAAAAGTCTGAATACTCCACGAGTATTCTGCAACCCTACACTGTCTATTAAATATTGAATGGGAAACACTACTGAAAATCTGTTACCTACATATAGCATAGATATTTATTAAATATATTTCAGATATCATATAATGAATGTATTACAATTTTCAATCAGATATTCGGGTTGATAAAGTTAATAAAACTTGTCTAAACTTTTACATTGTATAGAATTGTGGGCGGATAAAACTCAATATTAAAATCGAAATTATATAAATTCTGAGTCTATTAATTTGTAAATGCTAAATATCTACTCACGGTTGGTTAACTGTACTTGTAATAGCTACAGCGCTGCCGTCTGGACCAACAATTCCTAAATGTGCCGTTCCTTGATCGTTCGGAACTCGTACTTCTACATCACCATAATATTCTGATGAATGCGTTTGAAAATCATCTATTTTCTCTCTGACATTTTCGCAAAATTTGTCTGACATCATTTCATTGATAATCTGTTTCAATTTACATTGATACAAGCATTAAAGAAATATCGATAGCGTGAAGTTTTTGATGTCTGCTAGGATTATCATTATCAAAGATTTCATAATGATTTAAGGTTTTGAGCAATTCAACAAACTGAACAATCAAAACGTTTTCTGAGGACTGTCAAATTTTGGCGCTCCAGAAGTATGTGTACCAATATGGAGGTAACTAATTTTGTTCGCCTACTTTATATCAAGTTGCGTAAAGGGGACGGACAAGGATGGGCAAGGAGTGTATTCACTAGTCTAACACAGACAGTCCCCGAACTCGTAATAGAACTGAAAAAAGAAAAATCGGAATAAAACACTAACCTGGTACACATACTACTACATATACCATCAGGTAGGCTACATACCTTTATACGTAAATAATTTTTAAAACCAAAAATTAAACCAAGTTATACCTGAACAATTTCATCGTTGAAATCAGGATCTCCCATTTTATTTCTTTTGCAATAGGCAAACTTGATTGTTTCAATAATTCGATGGAGAGTTAGAATTTTATCTTCTTTTAAGTCTTCAGCGGTGAAATTGTAACCTTTATAAAAAAATTAAAATTAATATTTTGTTTTACGGTGTTCACTATTTTAACACCGTGTATCAACAATAAAGGGTGGAACTGGGAGTCACTCTTGTTCGTACCAAATTCACTTGCGCGAGTATTTGACGATTATTCGTGTACTCGTATATATATGAGCATAACCTCGCATATTCATAATATTTTATATCAAACCAATTCGAATTAAACAGTTACAATAAAATTTTCATGAAATGAAACGAAATCATTGGTCCAACTCTCGTTCATCAATAAGACCAAAACTAATTATATGGTTACGACTAACAAAAAGCCATTTGCTGTCGCGTTCGAAACATTCGCTTCTGAATTTTGGTTATATTGACAATAAAACCTGCAGCACCCGAACTCTGTGTCTAATTAGTTTTAAAAATTGAACCGGATTTGCATAAAATCCGATTGATTGGTCAGAAACTCACAGTGAGACGAAAAAACATTTCGCAACACCGTTCTTAAAAGACAAGAATCTCCGCTGATAGTTGAGACCCGCACTTAACCAACCGGTTACCATCCACGGAAACTTGCGGGCCTATAACGGCAGCGTGATTGGAGGAGCGGGTAACCGAACTTTCAGTTCATTTTAAACGCTGCGCGCTTCGTATACATCCTCGCGTGTGTGATATAGATAGGCTACTGTAGCTATTAGTTAAAATAATGATAACTAAAATCCCTACGGCTTCCCCTGTTAATGGAGTATTTAGACCAGACATGGGCAAAGTACGACCCGCGGGCCAAATCCGGCCCGCTGGGTAATTCAATCTGGTCTGCCTGATGCTTCCACAACCAACCCGAAATCAAATTTCAATGTTTCAGCTGAAATAGCTCAAGGAATTTGTTGAGATTGCGGTTAAATTTAGTTTTGGCACCAGGCTTATTATTTTCCATCTTTGGTTTTTAATACTGTAATATTGTTTCTAAAATGTCACACTTTTACGTCACACTTTTATGGCCCGCCAGTCTAAGTGGTTCAAAAATTTTGCCCACCCCTGATCTAGACAAAATATAACTTGCCAGACAGACTGTCGGATACACACACAGACAGACAGAACGACTGAGAAGACGGGTCTCCAAGAGCCGAGATATATTAAAATACCTTTCAAAACTTTAAGTATGAATGCAAGTATCGGTCCTCCACTTGGTGCACCGGGAGCAATCATCGTCAAATCGTTGCCGAGGTCGATTTTGATAGATTCTCTGATGCGAACTCTAAAAAAGAATAATAAAAAATTATACCTCAGGACAAGAATGTGCAACCTTTAATACAGGAGGGCCAGATAGAAATAACTGGATGAAACCGAGGGTCGTACCTTTATCTAACAGAGCCACTCCTTGCTCCAGGAGTGGCTATTTCTATTAAAATTGTTGTCACGATCCTGTCGAACTATTTAAATACGGAGTTACGGAAATGGAGTCAACTAGCCTTTCTTTTTCGTTATGTATCCGATAATACCCGGTGATAGGTATCTGGTAATGTCCGAAGCCACAATTCAATTGAAAACTCAAAAAGCGTAGCTAACATGAATAGAATATCTACCAAATTGGCAACGTTTCATTGCTGACAAGACTACAATGTTATGAAATTGTACAGAACCTGTATCCTACAAGACCTACACAAATTGGGTAAACGCGGTCCAAATCCGGACGTTTTGAGTATTCGTTTAGGACCGAAACTTTCTTTATCTCGTAAAAGTGTCACGATTAAATATGTGATATTCGGAGAATTCCTTTTGTGAAGTAACCTTTATTTATATTCTGAGAGTTTTTCTCATTTGCGTTCAACTACATACGAATTGTGACGCCATAATGATAACAATGGAAATGTCGCTGTCTCGATAAGCGAATAATCCCTTGCCGAGGGATTACAATGCCCGCTGGGGATTTTGTTTTTGTGGCCACCCCTTTTCACACAAATCTTTTTTCTGTTAAATCTATTAACTCAATGTTAATAGATAACTCAATATGTTTAGGCGCACTGGGAAATATATTTTCTGGAAAGACGGGACGTCAGTAGGCTACTATTTAAATTTTCCTACAGATCTTTGGTAAAAATAGTTGACAAGCTTTGTGCTACATTACACTTCGAACATATCCAGTTTATTGTACGCCTGTCTGCATCTAAGCCATAATTGATAATTGGAAAATAGGGATTCAAACTCATAATGTCCTTTTACATACTTGTACTGTTTCAGATCATTTTTTGTAATTGCAGACGGAAGTCCAAATCCATCATGAATATCTTGTAGAATTGATTGCGTCAATGATCCATCGTAGTAAGCCTCTGAGCCTTCTCTTGCAATGGTACGAAGTGTTTCTGCGAATACAGGGCGATGAAAAATATCGCCTTTTTGTTTGAATTCTCCATTCGGATGTTTCAGAAATTTTCTGTGAGGTTGAAAAGTTGATGAAGTTACGTTATTGACATAGCAAGCTCTTCGAAACGGTTTGTGCTCCGATCGAGGTTATGTGAACGTGAATTAGCCAGCAAGTTACGTCTGTTAAGTTGGTATTACACACTAGAACCCCGATAAAAAATTAGCATGTCTCATCGTTTTATGCTTAGTCTGCATTACATCGCCTTAAGTTGAAAATAAGCATAACGCGCGGCATGCATTTTAACATTTTTTAATCGACTTCACTAAAACCCATTTTCACGAGTCGTTTAAGGACGGTATTATTCACTTTAATGTGAATTCCCGCAATCCAACGTTTCGTTTAGTGATCTTGATCAAAACAGATTGGCTAATAATTCAGATAAAGGCATGGAATATCATCAGAAGGAAGGTGCAGGGCGAATTCTCCTCTGACCAAAGGCCGAGTTCTATAAACTGTTCGTGTATAAATTATTGATTCAGCTTACCTTAAATAAAGATTCTCGTGTACTTTTTGCATTGTTATTTTCAACCATTTATCACAGCTGAATGTCATTTGAAAACCATTCTCTGCCAGCTCAATGGCAGGATCAAATAAACGAGACCATGGAAGTTTTCCAAATCTTCTATGCGCCTCCCAGTAACCACGAATTTCACCCGGAACTCCAATGGATGATCTTCCTGTGATGCAAAAGTTAGAATTGTTACACAAGTATTGACAGACCGCATATCTTCATTGGTGAACTGACTGGCAAATTTTTCCTGTATTGCCATTTAACTGTATCGTGCTTTAAGAAACAAAGCGTGAACGAATATATACGTTACTTCACTCTTACCCAGCCTCAAATGAATATTTTCGGATACTGACTCCCTCCCTAATAACAATGTCAACGGTTACTTAAAAATAAAAATCTTAGCAGCCGTTCATACTTTTTTAAGGACGTTTTTTCAACTATTTGTAAGGTTAGTTGTTCCCGAATTTCATTCACATAAGTCAATTAATTCAATGGTCATTTTGTCATTCCGATGAGGTTTAGTTTGTATGCAATATTCGAAAATTAGCTCCAAAAAGCTCCGATAGACTAAGCTAAAATTAGCTATCAGTACTTTAAATGGCTGGTAGTTAAATATTTTGAAGCAAAATGAGGCCATGAATATGTAACTTGTGAAAACTTCCTCAAAACACTTTCCCAATTTTTTTCAATAGTATAGGAAGAGTGTGGGATCAAGAGTCGGGAAATCTTCCAAGAATGCATAAGCATACTATACTCATAGCATATTATACTATAGAACTAGACTAGGTGTACTTCGAATTTCGTTAAATATCTCACCATATCTTGCTACATAATCGTTGATGTAAATGTCAGGATTTACTCCAAGTGGGGCGACAGATCTGGCATCGATAAAATAATCTTTTCCTGTTTCTGCGTCGTAATAAATCATGTAGAATCCCCCTCCGATACCAGCACTGAAAAATAATTAGTTACTGTTGGTTCAAACTTCCAGAGTTTTAGACATTGAAAGAAAATTAATCAGTATAGCCAAAGAAGTTCTAAAACGGCGTGGAATAGTAGCCCACCAACCAGTGGAATATTTATACATTTTTTTTAATATTTTTCAAGACCTTAATGCTCAAATATATACGGATACATGAACGGATACCGAGACTGTTAGCAAAGGCATATTATTAACCACTCTTCTGCCAAACTAAACCAAGTAAACCCACATTGTGTGGTTCAAAATCAGCAAAATAGCTGGCAGGTCGCTCGAAAAACAAAACAAAAAAGCAATAGCTTGTTCGGCGACACTTATTTTACTAAATACTGTGCTGGAAATCGTATAGCAATTAGCCCGACATGAATAGCAAGAGATGACTTACCTTGTAAATAAGCACAAACTTCATAAACAGATTTTGACCCAATTGATAATCGCTTACCGGAGTTGTAAAACCACACGTTCAGCATTTAAATCAGCCAAGCACAAAACACTAACAAGGTTACTGCAATCGATCTATGCAGTAAACTAGGTGTCAATTAATAAATATTAAATGCAATGATCATAAGTTATAATCGTGTATAAGTCAGCAAGTAACTTCGGCATACTCACGACTGTAAAGTAGATTTTTAATTAGGGATTTTTGTACTTTGAGAGTAACACGATGTAATGCCAATTCATTTTCTATCAGAAAATCTTACTTTTCGTTTCTTACTTTTAATCTGTACCCAGATCGGTAACGCCCAATCCGTTTCAATAAAGCCCCGTGGTTGTTAAGTCCCGCCTGAATACTGATTGTTTCAATCACCTGTAGGCCCAATTTCTTTGTATCATTCACTTTAATTATTGTGGCAATAAATACAGGGTGTCCTTAAAAAAATTGCGCCCGATATAATCCCAGCAATAATACATTAAATATTTTTTTTCGATTTATAGTAATAACAATTGTCAGTTCGAATAAATTTTATTGTATGAAAAATGAGAACTATACAAGCACAATAAGAACTTTCAATAAACAAAGACGAACAAATTTCCAATTATTACCACTACAAAGTCGGGCGAACTTTTTTGAAAACCCTGTATTCATATACTATACCTTTGAACGAAACAACACCCAAGCACAGCATGGAAGCGATGGCAGCATCGACAACAGAGCCTCCTTCTGCAAGTATGTTCTTCCCTGCGATTGCGCAGATTCCATTGTTACAAACCACGGCTGCCGAGCTAAAAATTTTGTAAGATTTCTCCGAGCATATTTCCGGCTTTTGCATTCCATGTTTGTAAAATCTGCAAAAATTTGCAAGCGGTTATTTTAACGAAGTGCGTGTTATTTGAGGTATTGGACACGAAATGTACATATCGATCGTTTTGATATTATGTTGCTGTTAGAATTCTTTTCTTCTTCTTATTGCGACTTCTTGTTTTAAAAAATTGTTTTTCCCGCCAACTACTAGACCGACTGCTTCGAAATTTTTAGTGGGTGAAAATTGCATTCTTTGCTAGACCACTATTACTTTTACTTGTTTCCAACATTTAAGTGAACTATAACCTATTAGATAACTTAATTTGTCTCGACAAGTCGTGAATCAGAGCACAAAGGGCCCCGATGTTTTACTTGTCAATAACAGTCGTTGTGAAAAGCTGACCATTCCATAGATATAATACTAACCCATTGATGTTCATGTTAATGTCTTGATCCAACATTGTTCCGTTCATCATGTTGTGATAGAATAAAATCTTTAGATAATACAGAAAATATGAATAAATTGCTACTCAAAGGATAGATCTATAATAAATTAAACATTTGAATAATTTTTTGAACATTATTTGAAAATAGGTTCGAAAAATCATATTTGGATAAATATAAAGTAGCGGATAAAATAAATGAAGGTTACGCCCGTCTACTTTTTCAAAAAATTGTAGTTCAGATTGTTTATGTGCTCCGTACGTTTTTCTTCAGAAGGGGGTATGTACAAAATAGCTTCTCATACGTATGGTCAAGAGCGTGCCAAACTTTTCTGCCGACCAGTCAAATTTCTGATAACGATTCCCCTCGTACCCGACTTCACAAATAATTCGGCAGATAATTAAATTATAGATGTTGTTATACATGAGAATGGATAATATAGTGGTCAAGTGAGAGTGAAGCCAATCAGTCTTACAAGGCTATACACATAAATCAGCTTTTACTTAAATAAAAAACGCATCGTGAAAAACATGTGCTGATTATTTGGTTTCTGCGAGACTAACTACTTATCCTTCTTCTATGCTTTTGTGCCGGTGGATCCGTATGCATGTATTGCAAGGATGCTGTAGCAAGAGTAGAGATAGCAATCCTAAGTGATTCAAGAGTCTTGCTGCACACTAACACAAATATATTTCTGTAACGTTTCGTCTGACCAAGGTCAGACTTCTTCAGACATACATAGTTCAACTATAACACGAAAAGCAATTACATGCATATTTTGACATGTGTATGTGACATGACATGTGTATGTGCCATGACATGTGTAACAATTTGAACCTTCAGATTGGATCTGCTGCCCCCTACAACGCGCTGCCCTGGTCGGCTGCCTCTATGGCGCTCTCCTAGGTCCGCCCCTATTGGTCAATAGATTAAAGTTTGTAATATTGTAATTTTTTCAGTTCTTCATATACTTCTTATTTACTAAAACATTTACGGTAAACTTTCCTCCTTACTTCCATCATCCAGAGCTATTCTATGCCAACAACGCGACTGCTACAGTATATTGTGGATAGAAGGCAACAAATAACTCTGGATGTGTACATCTTCATTTCCAACTAATTTTATTCACTTTTTTAAACATACAATTAACACTAATTCAATTTATCGTGTCAAAACGTCCGAAAAAGTACTTCGTTAGCATATTGAACCGTTACCCCTCGTTCTCTGCCTTACTGGCGGTTTCTGGCAAATGTGTCAAAGTTTTCAATGAGAGTAAACAGAAAAAGAAAAATAACAAATAGTATAATTGAGTGAAAGATAACGATTTAAGTTGGGTGGAAATATACTGTTTTAAAATGCGTTGTGAGAAACAATGATGTTTTTGATAGATTTTCAATATTTTTTCATATTTCCGGTTAAACTACGCGCTAATAACATACCTCACATTGGCGTAGCTAGATTGAAAAACGATTTTGCGGCATTTGCCTACTCGGATATTATTAAATCGATTAATTTTATGTGAATAAACTTTCTTTTATGTTTTATGTAAATACTAACGTAAATCAAAACTTGGCTGGTACTTAAGTCTGGTAAAAATGTTTTATACCGACAAAGAATTTCGCGACACTAAAAAGGATAGTGACCTACATGATATATACTACTACATAACTTTCTCAAACGGTATTGCTCGTGAAGACTCATTCAAACGCTCTGCTGACTCATTTGAGAACGCAGACTCGGATTGGAAAACACTGCTCTAAACGAACCAACCGAGGTAGATGAAATTGCGCGCTTGCATATATTGGATAACTGCGACCCCATCCGGACAAAAGGACTTTTTGGCTGGCTACACTCTTTATACTTCATTAGGATTTTGATTGAAAAATCAATTTTATGAAGAGTTATAACACAGAAAAATATCAGAAAAAACCTATGAGATATTCACATTAACAGGTTCCGGGCACCTGTACAGTAATGCTGACATAGCGTGTTAGCGGGATATATTGTTTTCTCTATGCTAACTTCAGTAATATATTTGTCTAACTGGTCTGCCTAACCTCATAAAAAGTCTTTATTACTAATATATGTCAATAACTCGAGTGATATTTTTCTCAAAATGTATGCCCTGCAGGCAATACGAATGTAATAAACAAATTATCAATAAATTAGAAATATTTCCTAAAAACTGGAAATAATTATAGTCACTGGTTTTTATCGCTCATACACGTCCATTGATAATTACTTTGTTGTATAAACCAATAGTTATCTAAAGATTGTGTATAGCAATGAGTTATCCTTGTAAGCACTTCAAGTTACGATTTTACGAAATGTAGTAACTACTCGTTTATATAAAGTTTGCTTCATTCAATGTAGTACAATGTTTTAAAGACATATAAATTCTATTATACGAAATTTACTTTCCTCAACTTGTTCCTTTTTTACCTGACAGAATTAAAATTGAAGCGACATTTGATCATGCTATTCAAAGTTGGAGAAATAGTTGCTTCGTATAAATATTTTTGATCTTTCGCAACTTTACCGTTGTTACGACTCTATTAAATTGGAATGGTATTTTTAACGCCGGTAAATAGACCGTCGTCGTTAATGTTCGCGAGAATGGATAATTAGGTGGGCGGCTACCGTTGCGTACACAATTATCTTACAAATGATGCTCTCTCTAATCGTTAAACGTTTACATAAACAATAAGATTTGCGAGATTTACTCCACCTCATCTCATATTTAACAATGTACTACTTTTGCTATTGTGCAAAGTCGTAAGCACTCGTTAAAAGTGTATAAATGAGGTCGAAAATAATTTTGTAAGCGATTCAGCAATGCTGATACGGAAGTGTTTTGTAAGGCTACGGTGAGAAAACGCGTGCCTGTTCACATAAATTTTTATTGTTCATTATTATTTATATTGGCTTTTGTTTGCACTTTTTGTTTTTATTTTAAATGTATGTCGATTTGATCTCGTCCACAAGAATGCTTATGCAAGTTGAAAGCAAGAGGTCATAGAAACTAAACTGCAGAATCTACATATATATATAATTCAATTTTTTGCCAGAAAGTAGTCTAGTTTTCTCAAATAGTATTAATTTGAAAAATTCCTAATTCAAATAATCTGCATTTGCCTTTTCTACCGTAATCATGAATACCAAGTTTTAACTCGAAAAATTAACAATCATTGACCCGAACATATTAAAAATTTGAAAATTTAAAACTCCCAAAATGCCTTTACAGACAGCCTTGAATTCCAATTTGTCAAATGCAATTTTAATTGAAACAAACTCTCTTTGTTATTACTACCAAGACATTCTTTTATACCAAAGTCATTCTTTATCTCTTAATGATCTGATCTGCCCTCCCTGTGTCATTGCACATCTGTATATACATTTGCAAAATGGTCGATCAAATTAATAGAATTAGAAACATTCGTCAGGTGTACACCGGATATTCATTACGTAAGACGTTGTACAGCACATGCGGTGAGATTCATCTAATGAGAAATTTAATGACTCATACCCGTACACGGAAATCGGACCTGTGGCGTGTTAAGCTACGGCGTCAGTAAAACTAAAATATGACAGTTAATAAGGGGTTCAAGAGTCTTGCTAATCACTAACTCAAACATATTTCTGTAACGTTTCGTTTGACCAATGTCAGACTTTTCAGGCATGCATAGCAAATAGTTGAACTATGTATGTCTGAAGAAGTCTGATCCTGGTCAGACGAAACGTTACAAGAATATATATTTGTTGTTAGTGTGCAGCAAGACTCTTGAATCACTTAGGATGGTTATCTTGCTACAGCCTCCTTGCATTATATGCATACCGATCTCTCGGCACAAAGGCATAAAAGAAGAATAAGCAGTTAGTCTTGCAGAAACCAAATCATTAGCGCAAGTCAAAATATAAGTAATTGTTTTTATCAATCTTTTCAAATATTAAAGACTAGCTTGTTTCTATGCCGATAAGTTGTAATACGACACATGGCGAGAAGTTTATTCATAAAAACCATCCATCTAAGCTTAGACATCAAAGCGGTTTTGTCGTCTACGCGGTTATGAAATGAAATGTACGGTCTAAATCGGCCACCCAACAAGGTTTCAGCCTCGATATATTCTTTCTGATCGTTTCGTTTATGGAATGCCCGATATACACATCCAATCCAAAGTACCTCAAGCAAGTTTTCTTATAAAAAGGCATCGTTACCTTTAACATTCTGCTGTTAGCTATATTTACTGGTATAAACTAGGAAGCATATATCTGTTGATTCATCCATCCATTATCGCGCAACGAACTTTTCTAAAAAGCAAATACATGCTCATTGAATCGAATTTATTTTCCGTCATAAATTATGCTTATAGAAAATTCGCAATAAAATTTTAATTTGAGAACACCTGAAGGAACATCGGTTAGAAATTATTGGTATAAGAGACTGCTTCATCCGTCATTAACAAAGATAAAACTATGCGTATAACCACTTTATATTGCGCTCCCAACATAATCATTATGCTGTCTTCCCAAATTTATCTATTTTATATAAGAGCCCCATCATATTAATTTAATATGTCGGCGCTGATATTCTAATTCGGTGGTTCACAACCTTTTTTGACACATTCCTTCTTGGCCTATTCTAAATTCTGGATTCCTTCCCTACTACGCTTGCAACTCTATTTGCATTTGTTATTCGATCTTAAAACGGAACATTTGCTTGTGATACGTGCAACTTGTACTTTGGCTTTTGTACAATTGAAATAGGTCATAATGTATACATATACAGGGTGTCTCAAGCAATTTTGCACCTAATTTCTTGGGTTAATCTCCTTGTCATTCTGTGGGTTGATGAAAATGCAAACAATACCTAAATTTTACTAGTTACCCATACTATGTTTCTTGAAGAAATGAATGATCTATTATGAGTACAGGAAAAGCAAATCAAAATTGAAAGTGTATACTTATTTTTGAGACACCCTGTATATGCATTACAAGAAAAATAAATAAGTACGAAATATTTGTAATACTACATGCAAATACAAAATAAAATCCCCCCCCCCCCACAAAAAAAAAGCTTCTAAAATCTTCTCTGGTTTGGAAACCTATATCCTGTGTCCTAAATCCTTTTGAAGATCTCGGAAGGTCCTATAGTACCTATATTAATATCGCGGTTTCAAATACCAGGAGTCTTCGTTTTGATCATTTTTTTTTACATTTATAAACACCTAAATAAATAATTGACCACAAAAATGACTCATTCCACAAACAAACACTCATTCACGCTTCTTTCAGTACTCTATGGCAACATGAATAATAATGTCGCGAGTTCGACATCAGTACAGGAAGAGGCGACTTATATACGATGCATAATGAACATAATATATATATGTATACATTATTATACTCAACAAATCGTCGAAAGTTTGAAATGCGCTCGAAATGAATTTAGAGTACACACTGTGGGTTGAATTTAAGTAGATATGGAAGATGAAAAAGATCTCATTTGCACGGAATTCACTAGTAAGAGGTT